AGGGTGGTGGAGCTGGACCAGGGCCTCCCCCTGGGGCCTTCATCGCCCCAGCGGGGTCATGGTCAGCCGGGAGGGGCCGGGGACTCCATCCTGCAGCTGGTTCTGCCCGCGCCCTGCCCTGCTCTGCCTGCCCACCCTTCGAGGGCTGGCAGGAAAACATCCGGCCCAGACACTGGGGTTCTGGCTGAAAGGGGACAAAAGGTCAGCGGGAACAGGGGGCCATTGTGAGGGGGCCGTTCCGCTCCGTCCGGGTGGAGGCCGAGTCCTGGATGGGCCGCGGGCAGGTGGGAGTCCTGGAGGGTGGCTCCTCCCTGGCTTTCTGGCTTGCCAGCCTTTGGAGTCACAAAGACGTCTTCTAAACGGAGATAGCAGTCTGGCTGGGCGTGGTCACCCCCTGAGGCCCAGGAGAGTGAACTTGGCCAAAGCCTGCCCACTGGCCCCAGGCTCTGGGTGTCTGGACGTGCTGGGGTCGCAGGCCAGCCCCCATGTGGGCTGGGAGCAGGGCTCACTCCTCCTCAGGGACCTGGCCCCCCTTCCCCTGCAGCAGCTTGATGGCAGCATCGGGGAGCAGGGGCCCCAGGCCCCCAGGGTAGGTAGGGACACTAGCTGCCCTCAGGTAGGCTGGGGCCCAGGGGTCGACTTCCCTGCGCGGGGCTTGCTGTGGTCAGTGCTTGCTGTCCGCTCCCTAACTGGCTTCCCTGAGGAGCCGGTCCTTCCTCAGCCACCGTGTGGGCCGACCCCGGGCCCTGTCCCCAGTCCAAGCCTCGTGGTCGGGACGGTGGTGGCCAGGACGCTGGTGGTGTGCCCAGTGGCTCAGGCCCCGGCCCCCAGCAGAGGCCACGGTGGGTCAGGGTGAAGGAGCTGCTGTGAGCCCCGCTCGGGGAGGGAGCTGCGGATGGGGGCGCCCGTTTTGTCTGAGAGCATGGACCAAAGTCCTTCAGTCACGAGCCTGGGCCGCCCCAGGGCTCCAGAGGCTGGGACCCAGCTCTGCTTTGCTGGACTCCTGGGAGGCAGGTCGGGGGCTCCCCCTGTGATGCCCGGGCCCCGCCTCTGCATCCTATGGACGGAGTTAGGGGCACTTGGGGCCCTCATGGCCGTGTGGGTCCAGTTTAGGGCCTGGAGGTGAAGGTCTCCGGCGAGAGCCTCGAGGCCCTGGTGGGCAGGGAGGCGAACAGCTTCGGCTCGGGAAGCTGCCCGTGGCCCCAGGGGCACTGCCCACCAGGCCCTGGAGCCTCTGGGATTGGCTTCGGCCCTGAATGGCTAGGAGTCCGGGCTGGGACATGCCGTGCCTGGAACTGCGGGGTCCGGGGCCGTCTCACCCGCGGGGCGGACTTCCTCTAGTTAGGACGTCCCCTGGTTAAGGACCAGCTCGGGGCCCCTGCTGTTTCCAGGTCCAGGCCCCCTCCCAGCAGAAGAACAGGCCTTGTCTGCTGCCTCAGTTTCCTCATCTGTAAAGTGGGCGTGCTTGAGCCCTCGGTGGCTGCAGGCCTCACAGTGACTCACACAAGGGATTCGGTCAGTGCTGGGCACCACGGAGGCTGCTCTGCCCTGACTCTGCCAGTCAGTCAGGACATAACCTGGTGGTGTCCCTGCGGGCGTGGCTCTCCCCAGTCCTCCTGGGGGCGTCCTGCCTCATGGCAGTCCTTCTGGTGAGCGGCAAGAGCTCAAGCCTCCCCTGTCTAGAGGGGGTGGCGTCCCCGCTGGGTTCTGGGGTTCATTACACAGGCACCCTCAGTCGTGGGGAGTTGGGATGTTTGTTTTATACGGTGCAAACAAAGGGGGAAGGGAGGAGGGACATGGGGACCTCACTTGAGCTCCAGTGTGGGTCTGGGGGCTGAGGTTACGGGAACGGGGGGCTCTAGGGCGTAAATGTCTCGTTCTGTGGGCCTGGCTGGTGTGGAGGATGCTTCTGAGAATATAATATTCACAGCATGTTTTGGGGGGACATGTGCCATTTCCTGCCTGGACAGGTGCAGGCCCGGCCCCCAAGCAGGCCCGGAAGCAGGTGCGTCGTAAGTCGCTGCTTGTTTCTCTCGGACAAACACGGGCATGGGGAGCGGCCAGTGTCGTGTGCCCTTTGCCAGGGGACTGGCAGGAGGTGTTTCTGGAATGTCTACCTCCCACTCACCCCCCGTGATGGAGAACGCCTTGCCCCATTATGTCCAGGAGTCTGGGGGTCTCGGGGTCTCGGCTGAGCGGGGTCCCAGAGTCAGCCCCACACTGGAAACTGGGGGAGGCCCGGGAGCAAGAGGCTTAATTTGAAGACAGTTTCCTGTGGCCAGCATTTGCCATGACTATTAATAAATCACAAGGACAAACTCTAAACAGAGTAGGAATATTCCTACCTGAACCTGTTTTCGCATATGGTCAGATATATGTTGCTTTCTCTTGAGTTTGAAGACCATGTGACG